ATATATATCTATATTGGTATATAAATATATTGGCATATTCGCTTGATATTAGAACATCAAACATAGCAAATGAGTCCACATAGGTCACTTTTCAGTACTGCCCCCAGAGTACATGAAAGCAATACAATTGCCTAAAGCTTCCGGACCATCACCTAGCACAGGGTTTTCAAAGTTTTAGGGGTTTGGGTTCTTCTACATAGCACAGGCTACGGAAGCAGTCCATTCCCATGGAACACCCCGAGCATCCTGAATCATCACTCCGCACCACAACCCTCTGTTTCATTATATCAGGCATGCCAGGTGACGGACGGTAGTCATAGCAACCCCGACAGTCGACCCGACCACACGCTGATGGTAGAGCTTATGGACAGCTACGACGAATTCATCGCAATCGCCGCTCGACTAGCAACGCATTTCAAGAAAGGCTTTGAGTACACGGGCGAGGTATGGGAGAATCACATACACGAGTGACATTAGCTGAGACTAGCAATGGATATAATAACATACATGAGTGACGATAGCTGAGACTAGCGATGGATATAATCACAAACATGAGTGACAATAGCTGAGACTAGTGATGGATATAATCACGTGCATGAGTGACAATAGCTGAGAGAAGCACTGGATATAATATACGTGAGTGACAATACTATTCCATGAGTGACATTAGCTGGAAATAGCACTGGATATATCTGAATAACCGGCTGTTTAGTAGGTATCCTTAGAGAATTCCGGGTGCAGAGCAAGCAGCACGCTGCTGGTTTGTACTGACGAACGCACTCGTGTACCTGCCACAGTGTATCTATGTAATCGATAGTAGTCACGTGATACAGTATTTGCCCCAGAAATAGAACAAAAAGCCTATGAATGGATGTGACGAAGGCAGGGGGTATTGTAGCTGCCAAACACATATCTTGGTAGTCAATTGTAATTGTCAATTATACGCATGTCTTCTATCACCCATAGTCAACAGCAAGCTTCTGGGTTGGGAAAAAGAAGGGGAGCATGTACCAACGATGGTATATTCTCATGGTCAATCATGTATTATACCTTGGCATTTTTCTGAACCTATATTT